AAAACAAAAGAGTGATGAATTTCTCAAAATAACATTGTACCTCATTACATCCAGAAATTTACTTATAAATCGCAATTCGATACTTAACTACATATATAGTTAGGGAGAAGGAAAAAAATAGCTGATTTTTATACTTCTTTTAACCTCACATACACCTTTTTTACTTTTGTTTCATCACACAAAAAAAAAACTGTGAAATGAAAAAAAGTATACTTATCGTTTCCAAATGAATAAAACCACTTCTACTCTTTTCCTCTCAAAAAAGTATATCCAAAACTATCAATTCCAAACCTTTCTACCTCAACAAAAAAGAGTTTGCACCAAGCCAGCTAGACTGTCTACTTTTAATAATTGGGTTTTAAAGCGATGAGAAGACATGAAAAAGTGGACTACTTTACTTCTCAACTTCTCATGCATGGTAGGAGGGTGGGATGAGTCACATACTCAATATTCATTTGCTAAAATTAAAAATTAAATTACCCAATAGAAATGGCACATCATACTAACCTCGTGGCCATTGCTCCCTCCCTACATGAATATCTTTTATACTGAGTGGCATATCTTTAATGAGATACTAAGAATAATCAAATTGAAATTGTCTTGAATAAAATATATATTTTTAATAATAATAAGTGATATTACTACTTTAAGATCTTTCATAGTGATTTACGTGAGTTTAATTCTTATACATAGGGATTAAACACCTTGAATTTGATTTCTATAACACAATTGCTACAACTATGCCGACCCGTTCCTAATTTTATGTTTTTACATTGTAAAAACATAAAATTAAGTAAAAACATAAAATTAAGAACGGGTCGTCACAATAACGGTGTAAGTTTGATAAAGGTTAGTTCTATCTATTAATTGTGAAATTCATCTAATTTCTACTCTACTATTGGTTTTTTTCCCTTCTCAAACAGTTGGTCATTTATTGTGCATGAATCAAACTCATGAGTTCAATATATTGTACTAAAAAATTGGAATCATTCTCATAAAACACAAGTTTTCTAGTTCATTGTAAGAGTTTGATTGCTTTAAATTGTGTTAACGCGGGGTTCTTTCTGACCTCAAAGGCCCAAAGTAACTCATGCCCAAAAGAAGAAAGGCCAAGGCTCGACATTGGGAAGGACAATCCCGAGCGTTGCAAACGATTGCTAGGTAGTTTGAAGTGTTTGTCAGCAATGAAGCCAAACGTTTCCCCATAAAGTACATTTCGATTGCCAAGAGCAAGTTGGGGTACTAACAACTTTATAACATGAAGTCCTAGGTACACAGAGACATGGCTCAAACATCAACTCTGGGCCACGTGGCGGTTGTTAAAGAGAACAAAATGCTATGAAGGGACATAAAGACTGACAAATTAAGCGCTCGGTGTTGGCGTGAGTCAAATAATTGAATAGGAATGTAATTATGTTTCCTAGTTTGGGTATGACTCTTCTTTTGTAATGTCTTTAATATTCCTTGTAGTACAAGGATTTAGTATGTATGTATGTATGTGTGTGTGTATGTGTGTGCGTGTGTGTTTGTGTGTGTGTGTATGTTGCCTCCTATGAGAGAAGAATAAAGAAGAATATTTGAAACCTTAGAATTAGTTTTATCTTGGTATTAGAGCCAGGGGACTTGCTCGTACAGCCACGTGATTGGGCGGGTCCCCTTTGGCCCCACGCGATGAGTGAGTCCCGACATGGCTCCACGTAGGGCAAGAGTGCCACGTGATTGGGTGGGGCTTCTTGACCCTACATGATGGGTGAGTCCCGACTTAGCTCCACATGGTTGCCAATATGTGGATCTCCATGTGTGACCCACAAAAGTGGGGTCTTACGTGCCGGGGGGGGGGGGAGGTGTTGGCTATCTCACATCGGTGGGGAAAAGAATAAATAATTAGTTTAAATAGGAATACCCCACTCTAACTAACACCGAGACATTTTGTGATAAAACCCCACACCTAACGGATTGGGGAAGTGGTAATTACCAAGTTGGGGATATTATCGGTGTTGTTGGAGTGAGGCCCTCAACCCATCAACCTGAAAAGTTCAACACACAAGTTTGGATTCCCACCAATACTAGGGCCGATCAAGGCACACTCGGTACGCGTTATCCCAAGAAAGCATGCAAGTGGACCTGAATGGATGTCACTTCGATACCACATGTCGGCTAAAGAAAAGGAGGGGACAGCTAGTAGGTTAAGCCTACGTATTCAACTCATTAAATGCAAAAGCAGTGAAGGATCTCAAGCTTGGGGACTTGGGGCTCATGGAGGGCTTGTATAAGAAGGATGAGTACTCTTTAGAAGGGGTCAGATCACTTGAGAGAGAAAAAGGACTGTGTGAAAACTGAGCGCTATTTATAATACTTTGTTCAATATATACGAAATACTAGTGGATAGATCCTAGTTTTGAGGGGTGAACCACCTAAATATTGTTGTCTTTTTCTTGTTATTCTAAACTCTGAGCCCACTAAACATCGACACATGACCATTCTAGTCTTTGTTAACCTCACCACTTTTGAGCGTTAAAAATTGGAATCAAACTCAATTTTTCGCTCTCCCGTGGAAGGCCTAAGCTAGACTAAGAAGACGTGAGAAGGTTTGAACTTGTGACTTAATGAGTCGAAAATGAATACCTTATCTACCGAGATAATCCATCCCCTACGCAAAAAACATTTTGAAAATCGAAACGTTTTCCATGTAGCTTGATCTTTACAATGAAAAAGAATGAGAATCTAAGTGTCTATTTTGTTTTTCCCCCTTACTTTCATTTCCCACTTTGTAATCTCGTGCCAAAAGCAGAGTTGAGTGTTCATGCTAAGCCAAGGTGACCTAGGTGAGTGGCCACAACATTTAAGCTTGGAGGCACCGAAATCTGTTTGTCACCTGAAACGTCATATTCCAACAATGAGTGAAATCATTGTTTATACCACCCAACTTTTGTAGATGAAGAGACGGCCTATTTTCGGTCCACGTGGTTCTATTCTTGGATATTTCAAAAATTAAATTGAACTTTGTATTTTTTTTTATTTTAATATTAATCATTAAAATATTTTACAAATGATTTGTAGCTGAGTTGATTTATCGATTCAGGTCACTTAAGTGGTATCAATGTGGTATCGGGTGACTACTCTTCAATGCCTAAATCAAATATTTTTAAACAAATATATAAGGATAAAAACACCTAAAAAATGGGTCTATTTGGTATCCTGTTAAAAAAATTTTATCATTTCTCATAACATTTCTTAAGAACATCTTTTGGAAACAATTTTTTAACACTAAAAAACTTGTTTGGTATGAGATGTAAAATTGTTTTTTAAATCTTAAAACTTAAACTGAACAAAGAAATTCAAAGACAGGGAGAAAGAGGAAAGTGAAGGAAGGAAAGAAAGATAGGATCGGAGGAAAGAGAAAGAAGAAGAGGATTGAAGGAGATAGAGAGAAGGAGGAGAGAGAATGAAGAGAGCAGAATGAAATGGAGAAGAGAGAGAAGGAAAGAGAAGAAAAAGAGAGAGAGAGAGAGAGAGAGAGAGAGAGATGGATTCGGAGTGAGAGGGGAGGAGAGAGAAAAATAGAAAGAAGTGGTTTAAGTTTTAAAACTCTAAAAATTCGCTTTTAGTGTTTTGTAGATATTAGGTTTTTTTATTAAAGGGGTGTATTCAATTGAGAATGTGAGAGATTTTAATAGATTTATAAATTCATGAATTTTTATGAAGTTTAATTGATTTATAGAGATTCCATATAAAATTTTGATTAAGTTCCCTTAAAATCTCATGGAAAGAGATGAGATTTGTGGATAATACACTACGAAATCTCTCTAATTCACTCTAATTCCTCAACTTTCTCAAATTCTTTAAAATCAATTTCTAATTGAATACATCCGGATTTCTAAGGGTTTTAATAAATCATCTTAAAATTCTAATTGAATACACTTAGAATTTTAGAGAATCACTTAAATCCTGATTGAATACACCTAAATTCATTTAAAAAATTAAAATCCCTTAAAATCCCAATTGAATACGCCCCCTAAGTTAGTATTGAGTTCAAATTTTAAAAATAATCTTACCAAACAAGTTTTTAAAGCTTAAAACTTGAAAGTGTTTTTGAGTTTAAAAAGTTGAATTCAAATATAATACCAAACACGGCCTCACCACTCTAGTAAACCGTAAAAATCTCATCCAATACTTAAATGAATAAAAAGTAAAAACTTGCAAGAGATGAGTTAAAGTTAAATGAGGGATGAAAGTACAAAAAGGTTGACAAACGGGGTGAAGTTGATTTATAAGTCGGTATTATTTCGATCTGTTGGGCTCGGATGCGCGGCTAAGCGGCGTTATTACTTGCAAGCTTGGGAGGAGGTGCATTCTGCACTCAACAAATATCCACAAGGGCCCGTTTAGCCTCGGACCTCAGAACCGCCACTGCGACAGAATATCTTGTTTCCTAACAAGTTTGAAGTTACATACAGAGATTTGGGTGTTAGATTGCCTGAACGCACGTTAAAAGTGCACATTTAAGTTTTACATTTGAACAAAAACCATGAGATTCTATTAAGTTAAATGATATAACGATTCTTATTCAGATGTATAACTTAAATGCACGTTGGAGGCAAACCTAGTTGACCGCCGAAGCAATCGGCAATTATGCTTCGGAGGTCAGGTGTGCCCCCATCTGTTTACTGGATGGGCCTTAGAATCAAGCAACAGTGATCCATTCTTTGTGGTTAATGCGAGGACTTATTCTGGTGGAACTTGTTGCTTGATCTATAATTCCATTTTCGTTTATCAGATTGTGATCAATAACGCAAAGAGTTTGCATCTCAGTTGGTTACGGGCATTTATCCTCGCACCCGAGGTTCGGAGTTTGAATCCCCTCTTTCCAACTACCTCGTGTCAAAAAACAAAAAAAATTAGCGTCAATGACAGCAGCCTCATACGAAAACACAATAAGTACAACAGCGTTGTCACACGAAACTATTGTTTGTAACTGGAAAACAGCCACGTGGTAATCGTCATGTAGAAAATTTGCTTAAATTAGAAGTAAAGGATTTGATGGTTCAGATTTCGGATTTCTGCATCATTGGGCTGAAGAATATTATACACTGGTGGTACATCGAATATTGGAATCCAGATACAGATTAGAGTTCTTCTGCTTCCCCATTGTACAGTTTGTATTCATGTATCTCTTACTTGTAAAGTACTAATTACGACAAGCGATTCAAACGCCAACTACGGCATTGTAAGCGCCGTATGCGGCAAAAAGCATTCCGCAAAATAATATGCAACAATCCAAGGTTCTTTGCCACAATTTTAGGGAAGAACCCAACAATGCTAAGTGAAATGAAGCAGGTAGAACAAATGAGATCAGTGCACATACAGTACTTCCCACGAGCGACGCAAATACTGCAAACCCTGGAACGCACGAGGCCAAGACGGCCAGTATGATCACCACTATTGCTCGACTCACGTACACTGCAAACCTTCCTAGAGGCGGCATCGTTGAATAATCGTCATTGTCATCATGAGCTTTCTGAAACCATTTGCCTTTTACCAACTTCCCTTCTATGATCTCGTTTATCGGGTGTAGCATGATTGGGAAGGTAAATATTAGCCCCAAGCACAAACCAATCTGTTGTCAGTCAGCACAATGATCAGCGAATATATCCTACTACAGTTTTTCAAGGTATAACAGAAAGGAAAGACATTCCTGCATCGATCTAGTCATATGTCATGATTACTAGTTAAACGCCCATAAATCTTATCAAGAGAAACTCCATACACTGTAAGTTATAACCCATCAAGCAACCATGAAACAGTATTTTTCACCAAGTATTCGACACGATATATAGTCACAGTATATGGTCACCAAGTCATCAATTCAGCTATTAGGTCTCATATATGATATCTAAATCACGATATTATTGCTTGAAATTAGAGAAAGAAAGCAAAAGGACTCCACAGCCTCTCATATCAGATTACATAACAAGTACTTCCCTTATACTTAAAGATACATCCTACATGTATTTATTAATTTATTTTTATTTCAATATCAAATACTTTTTAGAATGGAAATTATAAGCAAACGAAAAGACCGTGACGAAAATGAAGTATTGAACCAAGTGTGGGACGAATACAACGGTATATAGCTTGGCAGCGAAACTATTAATTAAGCTTCTAGGAAGCAAACAAGTGATTTGTTGTCATCGTACATATTAACAATAGAAAGGACTTTTCTAGAGTTAGTTTAAGTTCATCTTCTTGCCAAAAAAATTATGAGCGAATCAAATGAAAGGTTTGTTCCTTTTCATTTTTCTATCCAAAATTCAAGACAATAAAAGTAAGCAAGTGCATGTAAAAGTTGAAAGAATGATAAGCGTTGACTGGTATAACATGGAAGGTTGGAGTACATTACCTGAACCACCATGGCAGACCAATTGTGAGGGAGATTGAGAGTGACAATTTCGAGGGTTTGATCACCATAAGCCATGTAACCGGCAAATCCAAATAAACAATAGACAAGGGTTATCCCTGTGAAAGCCTGAGCAAGCAACCTCGGGAATGTACTTTTATCTCGCATAGAACCTTCCAGTGCTAATGTCATCCCAAACCCCTCAAAACAGAACACCGCCACACCTCCTGCAAATGGCAACCCTCCTATACTTGATGTGATCGCTGTCCTATCCCTAAAAGAAAACTCGCCCTCCACTGCCTGCTGTATGTCTTCTTTCACCACAAACGCCATAGCCAACACATTGCATACTGACGCAAACACACTGAAGGGTGCTAAAGCTGATAGACTGCCTATCCAAGACAACCCAATTTCGACTGGAACTAATAAAAATATACAGGAAGCAACTGAGAAACCGTGGCCATTCAACATCGACGAAAGGTTTTGTCCAATAAATACAAGGTACGCCACGGAACCTCCACATTGGGCAATCAGAATCAAGGATTCGGTTAGATAACGACCTGTTCTTCCCATGCATCCATGCCCCAAATCACCATAAGTTTTTTACCTGATGAATTTTCTTCTGATGCCAACTTATCCCTACATTGCACCTATTCATTTTCACGACATCACAACATAAGAGTTTAAATTCAAACTTTGCCTCATCCCCAAAATTAAAATAACCAAAAATCAAAGTACGGCATCATAGAGATGTGAATCAAGAAAAGAAAAAAGAATTCTACTTTACTCTAAGGAATCGTTCAATTCCGTTACAATTAGCAGGTTACATTGCAATTTGAACGATTGATCAGGTGATGATTGTTCAAATGTGTGGTTCAAAAGAATAATGTTGTACTCTAGCAGCATAACATGTCACATCTAAAAACACAGCACGTCACATAGTCTAAAGTAATGTCCAAATGAACTAGTTAATAGCACCGATAACACATTGTCTAACAATATAACATATCGAATAGTCAAACGCTTGTTTGGGATTGCTTCTTGAAGAGCTAAAAGCGCTTTTTGGCAATCAGAAGTGCTTCTAACTGCGGTTAACATATAAGTTCAGAAGTGTTTATGGATCTTAGAAGTGCTTTGTGAAAAATGGTTCTTCAAGAAGGACGAGCACTTGGATTTTTAATATAGACTTGAATGTCTCTAATGAAAGTGCTTGTAGCAGAAACGCTTATAAACATGAGTGCTTCCTATGGAAGCTGTTCTAAATTAATGTTAAAACAATCTAACAATAAACGATATAAACGATCTCACAATATAACATGTTAAACGATCATCTAACAACATAACACGTCATGTAGTCGAGCAAAATACCATATTGATTAGTGTAACATAGCAAATAATCACACAAACAGAACATTGCACACGTATTAACTAAAACCAAACGAAGATCTTAGGTCAGGATTTGTATAAGTATTCTTTATAATTATACAATTTCTTAGAAATCTTAAAAAATGGAGGGAAGAGAAGGGAACTGAGGAAAACTGACAAGGAGGAGCATGCAGTAGTAGGTGGAGAGACCAGCAACCATGACCCCAAGAGAACCAGCGAGCCAACCGGCGATTCTCAAAGCGAAGGGGAGGCCCAAAACGCCAGTGCCGACAACCGAAACAATAATATTTCCGAGCGTCTGCGCCGTCGAAGCCCCAGCCGGCCTGTCCAGCAGAGGAACCCCCTTGCTTTCTCCCCCTCCACCTTCCATTGTTTCTCACTGCGAGAATGAGAGAGAGGGGGAGACTTATAATTATGGAAGAGTTGATGGGCAGCTACCAAATTCCCATATATATATATATATATAATAAAATTGGGACTGGTGATAAGGGATGAACAATATTAAGGAGGATCTTTTCCGGAGGATTTTGAGAATTTGTAAATTGTGTCCGTTTATCGTATATCATATGATTAGTTTTTATTAAATATTGTTTGTGTTTAATTTTAAATAAAAATATTTAAAATAATTTCTGATCTCACGATGTACGATAAACGAACAAGATTTATAAATATTCGAATTCCCACAAAGAAGATCTGGCAAAGATCCGGATTCGAACAATATGGGATCTGGTTGCATTTTTTTGGTCAATTTTCCATTTGATGGGGTTCTTCACTTCTTCTTCTTCTTTGCCTGTCTTGAGTTTGAAAGGACAATCTGGGAATGGGGTTGGGTGTGAAATCCAATCGGAAGTGCACTCATAGCTCTCCAATGGTGAGGGTTTCGTTGCTTGGTATGTCATGTGTCCATGGAACATATCAACTTTGGGATTTCTCGTTCTAGTGATGTGTTTTGTGTGATGTCCGTATAGGGGTTTCAAAATCATTTGTATTTGTGTTTATCACCTTTAAATCAAGAAATTGATCATTGAAGTATATGTACCCATCTAATATTCTTGTAAGTGATCGGTTACGTTAATAAAATTCCATCGTGTCTGTTAGGAAAATAAAAAAAAAGCTCTCCAATGGCTCTCTGGAGACAGAGACGTATGTGGGTGGGAGATTCTGTAATATGTACGTGTGTCGGATTCTTTGGCATGCCACGTGCTTGTCTTCCCTGTGAACTGTCACGTCATACAGCTAGATTTTTGTAGCAGATTTGTTTGTTTATTTCTTTGAGTAAAAGATTCCAACCTCTAGAGTTGTTTTGCACATACTTTATGAGAAATATCATTTTTATTTTTTTTATTAATATTGTACCTAAGTTTTTTTTTTTTATAGAAGAAGTTATTTGTTTTGACGGAATTGGCAGACATCTGAAAAACAAAAAAAAATTGACATTAAGGAAGGAGAAAGAAAGAGAGAAAATAATTTTAGAGGGCAATGATAAAATGGCATGGCTAAGAAATTCAGAAGAAAAAAAAAAATTTGTTTGTGTAAAATTATCTATTAATATGTAATATAGATAATGATTTTTTTCATAGCACAAAAATACATTTATTTTTATGTGTTTGAAATAAAAATGATCAATTTTCAAATTTAGTTATTGAATCGTCAAGATCTAATCAGTTATTGAGTTTCTTTTTTATGTCGTCAGTATCTATTATTTGAATATTGACAATAAATATTTGATTGATATTTCGTTGATATTTAATTTTAATTTTTCAACAATAATAAAGTATTATCTCATTAAACAGGATTTGTTGTACAACTTGTCGAAAGTTGTTGTGCTCGATTTTGCACCAAATTCGACAATTAAAATTTTAATTTTTAATCTTTTCCTTTTCACGACATAAGCAATGTGGATGAAGAAAGTAAATTAAGTGTAGAAAAAAGTTAGATGGGTTCAAATAAAATTTCTCTTGTTTCTATAGTTTCTTTTTTCATTTATACAATGATATCTAAATTTTAACAGAAAAGTAAACAACACGATACCCATCACCGTCAAAACGTGAGCATCGCCACCACATTACGTTCTCGCACGAAAAATATCATCGTTGTGGGTCAAGGGCTTGATTTTCTGTGAAGTGATTCAGATTTCCTGGGCGGCTCGGGAGCCCGAAATCCGGAGAGAATCTTAACTCGTAGTTTGTAGACATTTTCTTTCTCAGAATATGCACCAACCCGGAAACCGTACACATCGAAATGGAAACAACATACCTTGCTGCATTTGATGTCAATTGCAGAAAGGGATTTTGGTTTTGGGTTTTATCTCAGCTTGGACCTAAATGAATTCCGGAATGCTTTTAATATAAGCACGGCTGGCAAAAGCAGTCGATTGCATGCATCAGTTTCCTCCGGGGCCCTACTGCACTGGCACCCATGTCTTTGAGCTTCTTCATGGTCAGATTCACCAACTGAACTTTATTGAGACCTTTCCTCTTGAAAATCCTAACAAACTGCCCCAGTCCCAGTGATGCTAACCACCTGCTTAACCCACCAGCTCCCTGAAGCTTCCTCTCGAGATTCAGAGCTCTCAGCTTTTGCTTCAACAGCATTCCTTGATTGGTGAAAATACTGGGGCCACGTCGTAATCGTCTTGGCTGAATGATGGCTTTTGAGGTTTTAGATACTCCCAGTGTTCTATGAGACTCTGAAGTAGCAATCTGATCTGGATTTCGTAATTCCATTCTCAAATCTCGTTTCATTGGCTTCGGAAATGTTGAAACGTAATCGGCAGCAGGAGATTTCCTAGTAACTTGAACAACCCTTTTAGGAGCAAGAGATTTAATCTTTTTTTACTCATGAACTGAAGTTGTCTTGGGACATGTCTCGGTCTCAACGGGAAACCGTGATTCGTTGCCTTCCGCTTCTCTGGCCACAGGTCGCAGCTGGACTGGTCCTGGATTCGGCGGTGGAGATTTAGTAGCAACAGGCAGGGGAGGTATCACAATTCTGACTCTCTGCTTTTCAACTATCACCCAACTATCTTGCAGATCAGGATCATTATCGGAGTTTGAAGATTCAATTAGATCGCCAGCGAAGGTATTCTTCTTGTGCAAGGCAACCCCCAGTCGCCTTTGCCTTTTCTCGTCCATCAGCAGAGAACCTGCTTGTGAAATCATCTGTTCATTGGATCAGAAACAATGAGATCATTGTCGACGGAAAATACAATCCGACAGTTGGACACGTACTACTCAAACTCGAGCAGTTGATGGCCAAACAATGAAAAAACAACCAACAGCACTTCACATACAATTTGAATTGAAAACTGAATTCAAAATTCCCCTCCTCATCTTAAAACATAAAACGGAAACAATGAGATCATGAGTAACTATGAACTCTACGCAACACCATGAATCCCTACAGAATACCATACACTATAAAAATCCACCACAAGATACGCTGCTATTTTTCCGATGTGGGACAATCGGGTCCTAACATTTCTCCGTTAAAAAACTCTAAAACATGATAATATATCAGAATTCAGAAGCAAAGTGTAGGAAGACATTATGATTATTGAGCTAGTATTGAATAATGGATGCAAAATTTAAACTTTTGGTGCAAAATTGAAATTAAGCATCCCAAAAAACTAAACCAAATCTACTTTATTTACACTATAGTTTGGATTTGGATTAGTGTCTACCGCTCAACTACTAATTGCTGAAAATCATCAGTTTTTGGGTATGTCTTCCTATTCTCATCACTATGTTGTCAATCTTTGATCGCTATGTCATCCATATTCCGTCCATATCTCGTCGATATTTAATTTTGATCGATTCAGCAATTGGGATTTGACGATTTCTGATCGTTTTCGCCAATTTCCCTACAGTTTCAAGTAAATCCATGAATCCCCAGAACCCAAACAATCCTAGAAGCTAATGAAGCAAAGAATCACACTTGCACAAGCAAAGATTATAACACGAATAAAGGAGGGAAATTCAGAAACGGAACAAGAAAACCCAAATGAGGAAATTTACCAGTAGAGAAAGCCGGAGGATGAGGAGGCGTGATGGGTCGGCAGTTGTTGCTTTGCTTCTCTCCCTTGGATCTCTGAATCTTAGATCGAACCGGGCTTGGGTCGGGTCGGTTGGCCGGGTGGGTCTGAGTTTCCGTTGCGTTCGCAGCTGCTGAAGCCTGAATCTTTTGGTTTAAAGCAGTTCCACCGTGCCTAAGGCCCCATAAGGCTATCCACTATGCTATCCATCCATGAATAATAATTGTCTTTTGCAACTCTATCCCTATAGTGAATAGCTTTGGCAATAAACAATAAAATATTAGTTTTTATTAAATAATATAAAATAATTTTATTTATAATTTTGAATAGGATTTTTAATTGGTCTCGTTGTACCACTTTCTATTAAAAAATTAATTAATGAAATATAAAAAAAAACAAAAAACCAAAAAACCAAAATAAACACCCACACGCAGATTGTCTATGGGTATTCATCAACCTCGGCGACGAACTCCGGCAAGAGCCGTTGAGTTCAAAGCCTGCTGGGTTTTACAATTTTTTTTATTTTACTTTTTTTATTAATATTTTATATTTTTATTATTTTTATATTGTGGCTAACGTTGCCCTGACATCATCCTACTTCACATTGCCTTCGGGCTCTTGGGCTGGGAACTCATGTCGGGCCTCTCCCTCGGGCTCGCTCGGGCTCCATCTGTCATAACCCGTCCCGAATATTTAATTTTTAGTGATGTCAAATGACAGTTTAATCCTTGGACGGGGAAATTGTAGTGTGTATGTGTGACATATTGAGACTTAGAGTGTATTGTGTGGTTTTGGATTGGTGATCACGTGGATCACACACACACCACACTCACTCTTTCTCTTTTCCCTCCCGTGCCTTCATCTCTCTCGGACTCACTCTCTCTCTCTCTCTCTCTTCTTCCTCGTACCAAGCTCGAGGTGAGCTTCCCAGTCGCAGATTGAAGATTCTAAAGGCACCATTGCATTCCTCGTGCCATTTCAAGTTGGTTGGTACCCATTTCAGGTAAGGATTCCTTCGAAATCTCGAGAACCTGAAACTCATCTTTGATGCACTATTCATGAGGACGTAAAACCTTGTGTTTCAGAAGATTTCAAGCTCACTAGGAGCTTTAGGAGGTTCTAAGGAAGCTCAAGCTAGTTCGTTGGAAGAGTTTGGACGTTGGAGGGCCGAGATCGAAGGTTTTCAAAGTTGACTAGATTATCGAGCTTTCTCAGGTAAATTCTAGTGGATTTCAAGGCTTAAAAATAGTATAACGTGATTCTTCATGTTGATAGCTTTCCAATGGTTCAAATTTCATGAAAAATGGTGCAAAAATGAAGAAGTTAGGACGATTTTAATATTTTTCTTGAAATCGACGAAGTCACCGGCGACCGATGACTCGCCGGAGAAGAAAGAGAATATTCCGTCAGTTTTGACGGAA